ACTTTTTATTCATTTTTAAAGAGTTTAATAACGTAAACTCAAAACTTGTAAATCAATAATTTAAACACACATTTTTCTTTTAATAAAATATCGAAGAGTAGAATAAATTGTATAAAAAAATTTCTTTCTATTGTGCGTGTGACTATGTTTTAAGTAACATTCAAGTAGTATACATGTATATTAAGAATTCAAAGAATTCTTAAGATTTATAAAGAACTAAAATGATTCAAATTATATAATTCAAATTATATAATTAAGAAAAGAAATTTTCGATACATTCCGAAAATCTCTAACAATTTACGAAGATATATCTAAACAATTCCGAGAGTCTTCCCTCACATCGAGCACTTCAAACTTAGATACCTATTAAGCATTGAAGTGTCTAACACTTCAATTTGAAGTGAGCTTATGGCTTATAAAAGCTTGTTTTGTCGAGATGATAATCAGTTTAATTACATATATAATGTTTCATGTTTCTTTTTACCTATAGATTCTTTGATGAATTTTTTTTTTCTTTCTTAATAAAACTGCAGAAGGTTTAATAAATTTTAGTTTTTATAAGCGATCGCGCGCGAATAAAGAGAATTCCGCAAATTCTCTTCTTCAAAACTTATTTTTTCTTTGCTATCATATAAATTCTTTGGTCAATTTAGATACAGCAGTTTAATTCTTTTTTTTTTTTTTTTTTTTTTTTTTTTTTTTTTTGAATACACACTGAGAAAATGTATATTAAAGTTCAAAAAATCTAATTTCGACATTAATCTTTTCTAGTTCTTAAAAAAGTGTGAATTAGACTATTACTGTATCGAGTATATTATTTTCACTGATAGTCGCACACTCCTCCGATTGACCTCGCGTATCGTTGACAGACGCGAGATTACAACGACTGGACTTCGTCGGGATTGTACACGCGTGATTCGTGACCGCGGGGCATCTGGATCAGATCTGATTGCTGTTCACAATGAGCTTATTATCCCCTAAGAAGCTAGAGAAATCTTAACGGCTAGACCCGATCTTAACTACTTCATATACGCTATCTATATATATATATATATATATATATATATATATATATATATATGTGTGTGTGTGTGTGTACGCTGCGCTCATAGGTACAGTATGGCTCCTAATGTGATTACCTCTAAGTGTCCTAAGTAGCCTAAGTCCTACCTGTCGGTGAAAAATGTCACTCGCGTCACTCTCGTTTTGCCGTGCGCGCTGACGGTAATAATCCTCACGGTGCATCACCGGGAGATACCTGTTAACGAAAGTAGATCGATCCTTCTCTTCTGAGAACCCTGAAACGGAGATAGTGTTGCCCGATGAAGCGAGAGTTGTCCGAGAGGATTCTTGAGTAAGCGTGAAATAACATACGATATTAAATGTCGATTCTGACGATTGGCTGAGAGCAAAGGCGAGATAACGCGAATAACATATCGCGATGAAAGTTTCTGTGAACGTTATCACAGAATTATGAGCAAACGAGAGAGATCGAAACGGGAAAAAGGAGAGATAATTACAAGTGGATATAAACGAATGACGCGTGATTGACGCGATGACGGGTATTCTCCTCGCTGTATTCGTTGGATTTCGCCTCTCAAGAATCGATCTCGTCGACGTCGCTGGTTGATTAAATCAAATCCGACGGAAGTAGTTGTAAGTGGCGTAGAAACTACGTACAACGTGATTGAAAAAGTGCTAAAATAGCGATTGGCTTTTTCCTATGATTCGCTCTTTTTTTTCACACCCCCTCTCTTCTCTTTCTCTCTCATTTTCACTCTCATTCATTCTCTTTTTCCTTCTCTCTTTCGTACATGTATACACTTTATTTCTCACTCACGCTCTCTTTCTGATGTCCCTAACTTCCTCTTTGTTTGTCTTTCTTCCTACATATCTTGTCACTCACGCGCGATTACGGCTTAATTATTACAAAGATGGTTGTACAATAATATAATATAGACTCTGTATTAGTTACAATAATATCGTAGCGTCCTACACGTCATGTCCGGCCTTCATCTGTCGTCATTAATCGCGAAAATCTGGAACTAATTAACCGAGTTCCTTCGAATTAACGCCTTCACGTTTTTCTAAACGCAACATCCTCCTTGTTATCACCATTTTCTCGAGCGTGCTGCCGCCGCATATATGTGTCTGCGTGTGTATATCTTTGTATATATGTTCGTGTATCTTTATTGCTTATTGCTTAACATTAATGTTTACGTCAAATGGATCGCCGAAGAAATGTCGCCCGCGCGCATCCCGTCACGATTAAGCTAATGCTTTTAAGAGACAAAGAAATTCGCGTCGATCACACTGTGCATTTAACAGTTAAAGATATTGCACGCGATCTTTATTCTCGGCGGATAAAACTTAGAATTATAGGCGGACCACACGTTTGCATCGCGCCTAACGAGATGCTAATGAGACGAAAATACAGATCGCTCGTCCGTCTATCACGCGAAGAGGCGCGTCGCAGCGTGCGATTTCTCGGCGGCTCCTCTCGACGGATGAATAACGAAAAATGTGGTGAGCCGTGAGTCCATCTCCCCGAGGAAGAGTACCAAATAACATCCGGAAATGGAGTTTCATCTCGTTTAACAATCTCTCGAGTCTCCATATAAAACCCTCGGGGTCACGGTTCGATGAAATAATATTACACATTTGTTCTTATCAGTTAAAGAAGTTTCCATCGTGTGCCGATATTTTACGGGTTATTATCTTTATTCTCATTTATCACTTTTAATTAACTGCTCTCGCTCGGTTGACTCGTCCTTGCCGAAGGACTAGCGACTCACCGACCATCATTTTCCCTTCATCCTTCGCGGCGATATTTCGTGAAGACATGCAAAAGTCCACTCGATCCATCGAAGAACGATAGCGTGACGCTCGCCGCGAATATTACATGTAATTTATCGATATAATTAGTACGCGTATCGTCAATTAATCGGTATTTATTGAGAGGGTACATGCCCGAAGATGAGCAAAGAAATGAGCGTTCGTCCGGCGAAGAAGATATTTACGTAAGTGCTCTTCCGCCTTTTTTGCACTTGTCGAGGGTATAGTCTTTTCATATATGCAATCCTTCCTCTTTCTTCGTTTTAAAAAGTAATTCGATCGTATTTTTCACCGGCTAGAAACGATAGGATTTCAGAACGATCGATCCTACGAATCCTTTATTCTCGATCGAGATTTGCGTCGCGATACCGATCTTGTGATATGGTCTTACCATAAAAATTGCTTAATAATTTCGTTAATTTCTTCGCCCGATCTTAGTGCCTACGCGCTACGTCCGGTAAAAAAACCTACACGCCAAGGAAAACTCGCGCTCGAGCTTTTCTTTCTTCGATCGCGCACCAAATCCGTTGGAAATTCAATTAATTTCCACTGATTTCTTGGAATCTCTTTCGTCGACTCTTCGCGAGATGATCCATCGTATCCTTCTTTTTTCATCGTCGCTTACCCGTTTCGTTTTCGTTGACGATGCAAGAATGTCACTTCGAACGCGAGTTTCTCCCGACAGCTAAAAACTAACAGGAGCTCGAGCACGATTGTATGAACCGGTCAATGGCTTCTTCCTCCCCCGTATCCTTCTCATTCACGGTTTAAAATCGCACTCTGTCCTTTTTCTCATAGATTGACCCGGGCGTTCGATCAATCGATCGCGTCGCGTCGCGTCATGGCCGATCACTATATCGCGAATATCTCTTACAACGATCACTGAGTGTTCGATACCACTGTCGAAATCGATTTTTAACTGATTTGAATTAATTGTCGCGCTTTCGATTAGAATCACCTGAATATCGCGGCAGCACCCATCAGCAGAACGATCGTCAGGTACGTCGATCGGCTGATCCTCCCGCCGTTCGTTTCCATGCATTGACCTGCAATCATAGAAGGTGACGAATTTTTATCACCATACATATGGTGTGTAATTTCGTGCACATGTGTCTATGTGCGAGAAAGAAGCGATATATGTCTAGTCTCGATTAAGCAGCGATCACTTTCTTTATCTTATAGTCAATCAATCAGCAATATCATTTTTCATACTTGTACAAAATGCATATTTACATATATTTACTAAATACTTCTTCTTCGAAAATATGCATTGAATATAAAATTAGACACTTTTGAAAAAATCTTACAAATGAAATTTTACTCTTGCTAAAATTTTATTGAATTTAATCATCTTAATATCTTTTTTTAAAGTAACATAATAATCTCTAATTTCGATCAACATAAATTTTGCAATATTTTCAATTTTTAATTTCAAATTTTAGGAAAGATTCCGTATTGTCAAATTAAATTGAAATCACAAGACCGTCAGTAAAATGAATGACGTAATTCATATAAAGATAATATATCTATCACATTTAATCGTTATTTCGCGCATCTATATGAGATAGCCCTAGGTCTAGCGACGCATAATTCAACGTTTATCAACGCGCTGTCGCAGTCTGTTTGTCACAGAGAGCTACGCGAATGTCGCGCTAAATTATATACGCGGCTGTCACGTACCCTCTCGCGACGAGATTTCGTGCGACGCAACGGATGACAATCGCTGAGTCTGCGATTTCGATTGGATGGCGCAGCCTCCACGTCACGAGCAAGTTATTGGAGTATGTTGAATGTTTTGCGTAAGAACGGAAAATTTTGTCGCGCCTTCCACGTCAGGCATAGTCGCGATAAGTTCAATTTAAAAAAAAACATTATCTTATGCTATATATTTATGAAATTGATTCTTGTATAATATTTAATGCATATCCCCAGAAGCTTGTTTTACACACTATCTTATATATTATTTCTGTTTCTCGGTAATCCATAAATTGAAATAAATTTTGAATGATATAGAAAGTTTTACGAAACAAATCGAAATGAACAATATGAGACACTTCTTTATTTTTTATCGTATGTAGACTTTACGTAGAAAAAATGATAAGAAGTTTATTAAATGGACAATAATATGATATTATAGCATTCAAAAGAAAAACGGTATCTGTTTTCAATTTTATTTTTTAACAGTTTTCAATTTCATTTTCTAAATTTTCCGGACGCTAATATTAAAGTTGTATATCAGTAACGTATATAAGTTTTTAAAAATCTTCTAAATAAGATTTTTAAAATAAACTTAGCATTATTTTTATAGTAATCGATTTTTTATAATAATATTGTCGGTACTCAAAATACTCGATAAAAAGATATCAAAAAATTTAAGATTATTGTGCACATACATTTCTAACGTAATAAATTTTGAATACATATTACGTACATATATTGCATACTCGTTCTTAGTGTTTCCGCAATAACGCTAATCTGGGATGAAATGGCGCAATGACGGAAAGCAAGAGGATTGACGAAGGTTGCCACTTACCGGTGCTGGTAGCGTTGAAGGCCAACATCGGCGCGGGCGGCGGGATGCCTCTCTGACATGCTATGGGACTGGCAGTCAAACTGACAACTCCGCCGCTCTCTTTGTACATGAAGCACAGTCTATGGCTGTTTCTGTAGGGCTGCGCTCTATTGTTGCCCTCGCTGTTCGACCACGCTGTTCTGCGCGCCAACGGGGTGGCGATCACGAACTGCGTGCCCTCAGCGTCGAACCATCTACCGTGGCAAGAGTAGGCTGGAAGGCAAACAGAGAAAGCACGAGGCTGCTAGAGAGACCTTAGCATGGAACGGGGCAAGAGAGGGCTTGATTTGAGAAAGTTTCAGGATAATAACAGCTGGGCGCGTCTCGACGGCCGTTACCCTTCGAGTGCCATTATTCCCCCGAAATAAACTTCGAGGCGATGTCGAGGGTCGAGAGAATATCTACGGGACCGAAAAGCCTCTAGTCTATATGGAACAGCGGAGGAGGGAAGCGGACGTGCCTCGTGGTTCTTTTAAATATTTCGATCTTAACGTAACGAAGGAAGGCGAGCTCGAATACCATTTCGACCGTCGTAATGAAGTTGTGACATTATCGTGATTGATAAACGGCGCACGAGGCGCAAGTTTTGGCCGCGCGCGCCGTCTGCGACGCTTAAATATTGTCACTTTAATACGGAAAGACGAATTCGTCATACTGTCCCCAGGTAATATTTTCATAAGCGCGCTAAATGTAGTGTCGTGTCTTTGGCGAGCTTTATTGCTAACATTTACTTAATTAATATTAGCTACGCAAGTTCTCAGAAGAGACTCTTTATGACTATATATATTTCATAGACGGTTCTTATCTCTTTGTATACTCAAGACGAGGTATGAGTGTTGATCTTTTCTTCTAATATCAAAAAACCAGCAGAAGCGAGACACGTCGCTTATCTATGCGAATAACTCTTAAGCACATCAATCATGTTTTCTATAGATATTCAATCGATATTAATGAAATTGCGAGAAAAAGGTAGCTGTGTAATATTCCTTAAAAGATTATACATATTTGCACACTTTTCAATATATAGAGTGTTTCAAATTTATCGCGCAATCTTACAAATCCTCTGAATCCGCGATCTTTCTATTCAATCTGGAATTTAATTTTTTTCTTAAAAAAAGTAACAGAGTAACAGTTTATATATATGTATATATATATATATATTGCATAAAATTTGTAACAAATAAGGATTGTAATAATATATTGAAAGTATGATTTTTAATAAATTTGAAATTAATGTATATATATATACATATTGAAGTAATTGAAATAAAATTAAAATAAATTAAAATAATTAAAATTGTTAAAATTGAATTAAATTATAAAAATAAAAAAAAAACATTTCTCGGCAAATAAATATAGAGGTACGAAAAGATAGTAAAATCTTGTTCTTCTCCAAGATTTTTGCCAGAGTAAATGATCGGCTTTGACCAACGTTTTTCTAACGTTTCTCTAAAAGGACGCTCTTTAGTTACGTCAAATTCTCTACGCTCAAGATGCCTTGAAAAAATAATCCTATCTACGCTCTCGCTTAAGGGGCAAGCACAACATAAGGCTCTCGGCATGACGCGGTAAAGGGGAAGAAAAGGTAGATAATTACCGGTGATAGCGTCGTCGTCGACGCAGTCACTTTGAAACTCCATTCTGTCCGCTGTGGAGCAGCCCACGGTTAAGGTCCTCACCTCGGAGCTGCACCTCGAGTCATCTTCGTTCCTCTTCTCCCTTCTCTCCGGGATGTTATCATCCCTCTCGCGTTCCTCAAGCTCCCTCTTCATCCTTAAAAGATCCTTGTAGGTCATATAACCTTTGTCGGCCGGACTGTCCAACGCGGATCTTTTTCGCGGCGGGCTTTCGGCCTCTAGATAATCCCCGAAATAATCATCCTGCACCTGAAGCGAGCTGGAGCTCCAGGTGTCTTCCACGAGCCAGAATCGTTTGATCAGATCCGCATCGTCCGGCCGGAAGTCTTCTATCGGATATCTTCTCGATCTGTTCATCTTATCTCTCGAGTTTATCTCGTCCATAATTTCTCCACCTTCGCTGTTGACCTTCGCGTATTCAATCTCTTCCGAAGCGTGTTCCTCGAAGCGGCCGACGGCGCGCGACCTTCTTGTCTTGGAGCGCGAACTCTCCGCAATATGTTGCTCCGAGTGGTCGCCTGACCTTCTGATCTTCGAGCGCAAGGTACGCTCTCGCAAGTCTCGGAAGGTATCCTCCAGCTCGGAGGATCTCCTCGACGAGGTGGCGGTTTCCTCCAGACTATAGTCTTTGTGACCCCGATTGCCGCCACGATTCGAACGCGCCCGCCGGCCCATCCTTTCGTGGATCAAATACTCGTTGTTGGCCCGTCTCTTCTCCACCTCGTAATCCAGCTTGCGGCCCCGCCGGTCCTCGATCCTCTCTTGAGCGTGTCGCACTTTTTCACCGTCGTGACGAATGGGCAGGGACTCTTGCTGGTGTTGGCCTCTGCGGCTCTCGCGCGTATTCCGTTGATTCCTATTTACGTCTGTCACCGTGAACTTGCCCAAGTACGGACAGGTGCGTGGTTCCGGAGAACTCGCTGCAATAATAAACAAACTCGAATGTTAGTAAGCATCGGGGAATTCCGCCTTGGAAGAGACACGCGCGCGCGAATCGAAAGAAATATAAAATTCCAGGAAATAAATATTATAAAAATAGATAATATGCTTTATACATATATACACATTGCATAATCCAGGCGATCAGCTGATATTCAGAATATTAATATTACTTTCTAATTTGTGTATTTGTGAATTTAATTGTATCAGTTGTATTTAAAAAAAATAATTATGTATAACAAATTTTTAAATCTAAAGTATTTGAATTGTAAAGTAAATAATTATTGTAACGACATAATATCCAAAATAATACATACATTGTGATTAGAGAATTTTATACAAATATGCATAAGAATAAATTTACAGTATTGTGTTAATGATGTAAAATATCGCAGCTCCTTCATTTGAAACATTAATATAACAGTTTTAAATAACTCGCGATGTACGATTGTATTTTATATTTACGATATAGCGGTTTAATTTAACATGCGAGATACATAAATAGTAAAAAAATGGCGACACCATAAATGTAGAAAAATGTATAAACATTTATCGCAGACATAAAATGATATTTTTTATCAAACCATTTTGTATCAAACCAGTTTATCAGACCAGTAAAATATTGTGTGAATAATACAAAATTACAAATGTGCGTGATATATATTACACGCTCGTGATGATATATCTATCATTATTTTATTAAAAGTTATCTATACGCATAAATACTAATAGACAGAACTGGCATCGTGGATAAAAAGAGTCGCTGTAAATTAATGATCTTATCTACGCAAGTAAAGTACCGATATGCCCGTAATTTCTACGGCCTAAGAAGAAACTTTGAAGTTGAGTCTTAAACGGAATTTTAAATGTCGTAACTTTAAAAGTTGGGACAAGAAGCTCGGCGAAGGTTATCGATTCCTGCTAATGATACTTTCTTGTTAGTGAGAAAGTACGGTATATTTAACCTGAGAGAAAAAAAGTTCTCTGAAAAGAGCCGCGGATGTCCGACTCTATATTCGCATAATTATATCTTATGTATTTTAAAATACAATAGTTGAAAATATTATAATATGTAATGGTTTGAAATTTGTATAGAACTTATGCTAGTCACTTTTCCGGGGTAGTTAAGTTAAAGTAGTTATACAGTAGTTATATACAGGATTAGCTCACAAAGAGCGAGCGTAGCATTATTCTTCTCTCAAATCTTTCAGGAAATTCTGTATTAGATTTTAAAACTTTATTAGATCGTAGAAAAGGAGAAAAAGGAGGCCAAGAATCTCTGAGAGACCCAAGAAAGCAGCGGAAGACGGCGAATGGCTATAACAAGAGAGAACGTAAATCGACCATAGGCAGACACAATGCGAACTCTAATGAGACAAATCTGATGACGCACCCTCAAGCCAAGGGTGCCACCCTCCCTTAGCCTAGCGAGCTGTGCATTATCGTTTTATCTCGATACCGAGCCTTCGAAACTCGTAGACTAACGATCGCGAGTGTTTTGTCCGCTTTCTCTTTTACATTTTACATATACAATACGTGCTTCGGATTAATTGAAACACGATACACAATGTTGACGAAAAAAGGAAAGAAAAAAGCATACCGATTATGCTGTAGGGAA